TAGGGCCGGGCTTGTGGCTCGGTGGAGGTGTTTGGAGCTGGCAGGCAGCCAGGAGCCACTATTATATTTTCTGTTTTTTAACACTCCCACCACTATTTACAGTGTCCCCACAGCAGGACAGCCGGCTGTTCACCTTGGGGACCTGCAAGGACACCTGCCGTGCCATCAGGGAGGACACCAGCCTTCCCCAAAGCCAGAGGCAGCACTGGAGGTGGGATCAACACCCTCGCTGTCAATTCATCGGGGGAACGAGGTGCATCCATCCTCAGCTGCATTCCCTGGATGCTTGCGGGAAGTCCTGGGTTCCCCATCCACGGATGTTGGGCCTGTTTGCACAAGGTGTGTTTTCTGGGGAAAAGCATATTTTCCCCCCCATTTTCCTCTCCCCGTGGAGGCTGAGGGAGTGGGGAATTTCACAAGGGCACCGAGCCATCGCCAACCCAACCCCACAAGCCTGGGCAACCCTGGGATGCGAGGGATGGCTCCAACCTGGCTGTGGTTGCAAATATTTGTGTCAGATCCTGCCAGAACCCATCTCTCCCGTGGCCACGCTGCCCAGCTTGGCCGTGGGCTCGTGCCAGGATCGATGAAAGCCCATGTTGTCCACTGCAGCAGGATCCAGATGCCTCATTCCACTGCACCATCCATTCTGTACAACCCAACCCAGGCATATTTGGGTGTCTGCTTAGTGAGGTGACACTGGGGAGCCTCCCATTTGAAATTCCATCATCTGGGTAATGCCTTCAACACCTCCTTCTCTTCCACATCCACTGAGACCCACCACAAGCCCCCCAAAAGAAAGCAGGGAAGCATTCCGGAGGGCTCCCAGGGAAAGGAAGGGTCATGCCCATTATCCAGTGGAATCTCGGCATCTCAGTGCTGTTTATGCATCTGCCATTCTATACCCAGCCCGTGCCCCCGGGGTTCTTCGCCTTATTGCTCTTTAATTGCCCTGTTCAGGAAGCCCGGAGCTTTGACTGCCTGGTTAATGAGTACGGGAGGCATCGACCCCTTCGGCTGCGACCCGGTGCCGCAGGGAGACCCTGTCCCCGACACCCAGGGCCAGGACAGTCCAGCTGCTCCCCAGTGCGCGGGCATCCCACCCTGTGAACCCCACATCTGGGGCCGCTGGAATTCCCCGGACACCCGCTTTGATACAGACGCTCGCCCATGATCCTAAGCCAGATGTTTGCCTGGGAGCCCCCCATTCTGGCCCAGCTGTTTCTCCCCCCTGCCTCGCTCCCGTGCAGCTGCGACCCCTCCCCAGCCCGCTGCGGGCCCCCCCGCAGGTGCCGCAGCCGGAGCGGGGCGGAGCGGGGCGGCCCCGGGGCGGAGCGGCGGCGGCAGCGGGGCGGCTCCGAGGCTCCGTGCCGCGGGCTCCCGGCGCATCCCGCTGCCGGTAAGTGCCGCGAACGGTGGGAACGGGACCAACCCAACCGGGCCGGGATGGCACCCAGCAGGCTCAGAGTGAACCGGGCAGGTTGGGACTCTAAAGGGTCAGACCCAGCCGGACAGGATGGGATCTTGGTGAACTGGGTAGGAGCGGGCGGGATGGGGCTGGAGAGGGCAGGATGGAACCCTAAGGGGTCAGAGTGAACCCGCTGCCTCCCGGCGCATCCCGCTCTGGTAAGTGCCGCGTACCGTGAGTACGGGACAAGCCCAGCCGGGAAAGGATGGAATTCAAGCGTGTCAGAGTGAAGCGGGAAGGATCGGGCTGGAAGGACGGGATGGGACTGGACCGGACAGGATGGGACCCAACAGGGTTAGATCCAACTGGGTAAAATGGGACTGGACCGGACCGGATGGGAAGGGACCCGACAGGGTCAGATCCACCCAGGCAGGATGGGACCTTGTAGGGTGAGAGCGAACCCGCTCTTTCCCAGCACATCCCGCTGCCGGTAAATGCCGCCAGCGGGGAGGGGGGGACGGGACCAGGCGAACCGGGAAAGGATGGGATCCCAGTGGGTCAGAGTGAGCCGGGCGGATGGGACTGGACAGGACAAGATGGAACCCAACGGGTCCTACCCAGCTGGGCAAGATGGGATCCGAGTGGGTCAGAGTGAGCCGGGCAGGGTCAGACCTGAGGGGACAAGGCTGAGCCCGTCAGGATGGGATCCAACGGGATCAAACCAAACTGGGCAGGATGGGGGAAAACCGGGTAGGACCCAAACAGATCGAATTGAACTGGGCAGGATGAGGCAGAACAAGAGAGAATGGGGTCAGATCCAGAGAACAGCCATGCTTCGGATGGGATTTGGAGTGATCCCAGAGCCACTCCGAAAGGAAGCTGCTGCACTTTGCCCTTGGGGAGGTTTGGCAGCTCTTACCATGGAGCAGGGCTCAAAATCCCGCCGTGATTCCCCTGGCAGAGCTGGTGCAGGGTGGATTCTCCCCTGTCCCTCTGCTCCCATGGTCTGGGGTGCCTGCATCCCTCAGGCATCCGTAGGGATCAGCCCTGTGCCAGAGATTGTATTGCACATAAATGTCCTTAAATCTGCTCGAGGGACCTGGTTTTCCTTGGCATCTCTGCTATTGGTGCTGGTAGCCTGGCCTCTACCTTTTATACATATTTATATGTATTTGTGCATGTATACGTTTAGAGATACAGATATATTCCTATATATATATATACGTATATATGAGCATGTCTGCATAGACATGTGTGTATAGTTGTATAAATACATTTCTGTATATATGGGTGGAGTAATGTATCAACATGAGTGTGACTCCATGTGCTCCAGGAAATATATTTGTGTGTAGGGATGTAGAAGTTTCTGTGTATGTGTGTGTATAGTCTGTATATGTGGGTGGAGAGATGTATGTTTATGGTTATGGTTATGGTTATGTTTATACTTCTGGTTCTGTTTATATTTATATTTATAATTTATACTTATTTATATAACTATAAAGATAAAGATAAAGATAAAGATAAAGATAAAGATAAAGATAAAGATAAAGATAAAGATAAAGATAAAGATGAATGTGTGTGTGTGTGGAGAGCCTAGATACAGTTGGACGTAGTGGGATATATATGTAGAGAGATGTGCAGAGGTGTATTTATGTATGGAGGTATATGTTTGTGTCTGTATTTGTATTTATCTTTACATGCATAGAGGTATAGGCCAGCTGAGACTGGGAAAGCTCATTGCACCTTCCCTGTCCCCATCATCCCGTTTCCAGCAGGGAATCGCAGTCCAGGTTGCCCAGAGCCTCCCTGAGGTGCTGATTTATGATGGGGCACCAAAATGTGGGAAGATGAAGGTGCTCACCCAAGAACAGAGTGTCTCTGCCACCACCCTCTGCCTCATTCCCAACAATCCATGTTTAGTACCCCAAAATTCCCAATGCTCTCCCAATTTTTCCATGTTGTTACACCCTCAGGCTTCACTAAATGGAGATTTCCCTTAAAACATCCAAGCCTGACTCCCCACTGGGCAGATGGGCACCTGAGGATATTTTGGCACCAGCCAGGAGACGTTTGGGGATAAGGATGTGGTGGCTTTGGCCAAGTGACATGCAGGATGGAGCATTCCCCTTTCCATGCTCTTTGAAATTTGCTGAGCTGGAGCTTTCACTTCCACCCAGCCCAGACTTCCAGCCCTGCCAGCCAGCCACAAAGACCAGGGTGGGAAAGATAAAGCACGGAGGAAGATTTCCAAGGGATCCAGGGCAGCAACATCCAAAAGCTTTTCCTGCTTTATCCAGCTTGCAGAATCTCCCTCCAAATCAATAGAAGGGTGTTAATTAAAGTTAATTCCACTGGAGAAGGGCTTGGTTTGAAAGCAAAGAGGTTGGAGGGGGAACATGCAGCTGCGGGTGATGATTATTTTTAATCTCTTCTCCATCTGGCCACAGAGCAGCCCTACTTCTCTTTCCTGATCCCTGTTCCTCCTCTGCAGGCACCTTAAACCTCTGGGATGAGGCTGACCCCATATTGACCCCTCCCAATACCACAGGCATCCCTTTTTTTTCCCCTAAAAGTCTCATTTCCCGTGGATTTCAGCAAGTGTCCGTCGCTGTGGCGGCAAGACACCAGCTCCTATGGATGTGGGAGGTGCCAGCCCCATCACCCCCAGAGCAGGCAGGGAGTCCCATGATGGGGTTTTGGGGTGAGAAAAGGGACTTTTGGGATAATTCACCCCGACAGACAATGGGGTGGGAACATGCCCCGGGCACAGAAACTGGTTGAGGCTGAGGGTCTCAGTGTGGTTTCATTAATTGGTGGGCACTGGGGGTTCTGGGCAGCTGCAGGTCCTGAATACAGTTGGGATGGGGATTCTCCAATGTCTGGCCTTTCCCTGGGATCAGGAGGGATTTCTCCTCCTCTCCTCCAGCTTTTCCATCCCCCCAAACCCAGCAGCAAGGGGGTTCAGTACTGTTTCCCTCTTACAAAGAGGGTTTTTTTTCTAATTTGCCATTTTTTGGGGAGCAATCCCTTCTTTTTTTGGCTGCTCCTCCTTTTTTTGGGTAACTGAAGACCTAGGTAGCCTTGGGCATGGCCCTTAGCAGGTCCTTGCCAACACCTCCAAGGTGTGTTTTGGGGGAAAAATATGTTGAAAAGAGATGTAGACCACATTGGTTCACTTCAAACTCAGTGCCTGTGCCTCAGTTTCCCTTGTTTTACTGTAGCACCTGGACAGCTGGAACATCTTCTTCTTCTTGGTGCCACAGTGCCAGGGGACTTCCCTGTCCCCAACATCTGCCCACACTTAGAAGGAGCCAAATATGAGGGAAGCGAGGCAAAAATGGAGAAAAGACCCAAAAATGAGGAAAAGCAGCCAAAAAACAAGGAAGAAAAAAAAAAAATTACAGAAAAGACCAAATAATCCAGAATGACCCGAACCAGCCACATCCTGGCAGCCACAGGCAGGAGTGTCCCCTGCCCTGGTGGCATCTGTGCCGTGCCACAGCCCTGCAGTGCCTGGCAGAGCCATTCCTGCCAGCTGGGTTTCTGTTCCCCCTTTCCCTGGGGGGCTGCTGCTGCTGAGAGGAAAGGGAAGTGTTGCTCAATGGGGCGAGCACAGCACCCACAGATGTGCCAAGTGCCAGCAGAGCCGTGGGTCTCAGCACCCCGGGGCACCCCAAGAGGTAAGAGGCACTCCCAGGCCCCCCAAGACCCCTCTTCTCAGCCACCTTGTCCCCACTGTCCTTGGTGGGGACACTGGGGGGTGGCAGAGGTTCCTGTGGGTGCTGCCCTGACCTTGGATCCTGAGGGAGGTTTGGGGGGAGCCAGGGGATAGGGAAGTTCACAACCCTGGATCATTTATTGGCTTGGAGGTGGGAGAGGTGAGTGCTGGAGCTGGGGTGATAGTGGGGTGCTCAATGGGACACAGGGGGGCTCAGCAGGGTTGAGGGGGGCACTGGGGGCTGATGAGGGCTCAGTGAGGTGACAGAGGGACTCATACAGGGTGTGATGGGATGAATGGGGGTGCAGGGGGATTCAGCAGGGTAGCAGGGGCATAGGAGGTGTGTGCAGCAGCTGGGGGACTGATTCACAAGCCTCAAAATTGTGCCCTGACACTGACACCACGGCTGGGCTATGCTCTGGGGGCTGCTGAATCCCCAGACACCTGAAATTGGGGGGTACAAGCTGACAGGGTGACCGCTGGACTCGTTTGTCTCTCTCTCCCTGTGCCTTGTGCTCCATGCTTCTGGCTGGAGCTTGGGCACCTCCTCCCTGCCTCAGTTTCCCCTTCCCAGTGGCCACCCCCTTCCAGACAGGTTTGTGCCCAGGGCAGCAGGGGAAGCGGGGGCTGTGCCTCCGGCCAGGGCTGCAGCAGGGGCAGGGCAGGGCAGGGAGCGAGGGGAGCGAGGAGCGGCGGCCCTCCGGGACCTGCTGCCCTCCGGGACCCGCTGCCCTCCGGGACCTGCTGCCCACCGGGACCTGCTGCCCACCGGGACCTGCTGCCCTCCGGGACCTGCTGCCCACCGGGACCTGCTGCCCACCGGGACCTGCTGCCCTCCGGGCGCGGGTGGCACCCACGGGCGGAGCGGGACAGACGCTGCCCAGCGACACGGCTGGGGCAGGGGGCTCATGCGGCTGTGCCACCACATCTGCCACGCTGCTCTCAGCCTTTGAGAAAAGCAGATCTCCTCCTGCCCTGCTCAGAGCAGCCCGGAGGAGGTTGGGTGGGCTCTCCGAGCCCACTAAACCGAAAAGCTCTGGGGTCGTTGTCACCGTGCTAATTACGGGTTGACAGTGCCCCCGAGGGTCGCGCTGGGCTCCGTGCGGGTGGCATGTCCCGGGCTGAGCCCGGCTGGCCGCAGGGCTTTGGCACCCCCTGCAGAGGCGCAGGAAGCCGTGCCGGCGGCTACCGGAGCATCCTGCCGCAATTTCCTCCGCCGGAGGGGACTGACAGCGGCTCGGCCTTGTGCAAACCTTTCTGTGCGGGATAAGTGTCATGGGAAGTGCAGCTGGGCTGGTGGCAAGTGTGGCCACCACGCTGTCCTGTGCTGTCCCACTCACTCTGCCTTCACCTTCTTGTTAGACCCCTAAATCCATCACTGTGGCTTAGAATCATGCAATCACAGGAGGGTCTGGGATGGAAGTGACCTTAAAGATTCATTCCAGCCCCCTGCCATGGGCAGAGACACCTCACACTAGCCCAGGGTACTCCAAACGCTGCCTGACCTGGCCTTGGGCACTTCCAGGGATGCCACAGCTTCTCTGAGTAGCCCAGCTCTGCCTTGGAGCAGCTCCAGGGCCTCCTCTGGGCTCTCTCCAGCATCTCCAAGTTCTGCTGCTGTGTCCCCAGGGCTGGGGCCACTCTGCAGGTGGGGTCTCACCTGAGCACAGGGGCAGAGGGGCAAAATCCCCCCTTCCCTGCTGCCTAGGCTGGGGGATCAGCCTAGGGCACGTGGAGCTGCACATGATTGCCTGTGGTTGGGTCATATCCAGCTTCCTATCCACCAAATTGTCCTCAGGGCTGCTCTCTGTCCCTCCATCCCCCATCCTTTGTGCATACTGGGGGCTGCCCCAACCTGCAGATCACCAGTCTGGGTTCATCCTGTGAGGGAGTACGTGACACCAGGCAGACGAGTCACCAGCTGTCCCCTTTGACATTCACAGGTGCTGCACAGGGGCCACGCCAGCAGAGAGGACACTGATGGCTGGGAACACCACCATGGCCAACCTGACAGCCACGAACACCGGGAGGAACTCGTGCACCTACCACGAGGAGTTCAAGCAGGTCCTGCTGCCCCTGGTGTACTCGGTGGTGTTCGTGGTGGGGCTGCCCCTCAACGCCGTGGTCATCGGGCAGATCTGGCTGGCGCGGAAGGCGCTGAGCCGCAACACGATCTACATGCTCAACCTGGCCGTGGCTGACCTGCTCTATGTCTGCTCCCTGCCCCTCCTCATCTACAACTACACACAGAAGGACTATTGGCCTTTTGGGGACTTCACCTGCAAATTTGTGCGCTTCCAGTTCTACACCAACCTGCACGGCAGCATCTTCTTCCTCACCTGCATCAGCGTCCAGCGCTACCTGGGCATCTGCCACCCCTTGGCCTCGTGGCACAAGAAGAAGGGCAAGAAGCTGACGTGGCTGGTGTGTGCAGCCGTGTGGTTCATCGTCATCGCCCAGTGCCTGCCCACCTTCGTCTTCGCCTCCACTGGCACACAGAGGAACCGCACCGTCTGCTACGACCTGAGCACGCCCGACCGCTCCGCCGCCTACTTCCCCTACGGCATCACCCTCACCTTCACCGGCTTCCTGCTGCCCTTCGTGGCCATCCTGGCCTGCTACTGCAGCATGGCCCGCATCCTGTGCCAGAAGGATGAGCTGATCGGCCTGGCTGTGCACAAGAGGAAGGACAAAGCCGTGCGTATGGTCATCATCGTGGTCATCGTCTTCTCCATCAGCTTCCTCCCCTTCCACCTCACCAAGACCATCTACCTGATCGTCCGCTCCTCGCCCGTCCTGCCCTGCCCGGCCCTGCAGGCCTTTGCCATCGCCTACAAGTGCACGCGGCCCTTCGCCAGCATGAACAGCGTCCTCGACCCCATCCTCTTCTACTTCACCCAGCGCAAGTTCCGCGAGAGCACCCGCTACCTCCTCGACAAGATGAGCTCCAAGTGGCGGCACGACCACTGCATCACCTACGGCTCCTAGGCGGGGACCAGGCCACCTCGGTGCTACCGAGGCACGGAGCAATTTCAGCTCTAAGCTCCACAGAGCAGAGATGGCTTCACTGGGGGACATGCTGGAGGAGAGGAGGATGGCATCTCCCAAGCTTTCAGCACTTTCAGCCCATCTCCAGCCTGGTGATGGATCCATGGTGATCCATCTCCATCCAGTGGTGCAGTATTAACCCTATCACAGATCTAGTGTCCTCTCCCTTGCTCACTTGGAGCAGCTCGGCACCTTGGTGATCAAGCCACCGATGCAATCAAAATCCAGGGAGCGTGGAGAAAAAGATGGAGCTCCATGGAGGACACATCCCTGGATCAGGATGAGCTGCTGGGGGATGATTTGTCCCCATACTCAATTAAAAATTCCATGATGGGGACAGCATGAAGGCTGGGGAGGGTTTGGTTCAGCCCATACCATGGGGCCATGTGTTTCTCCAACTCAAGATCAGTGTCACAGGTGGTTTTTGTGTAACATCCTTTTTGGGACACCCCTATCCCCCATTGCTCAGAATGAGGCCACTCCAGCAAGAGACACAGGCTCACTGGTATTGCTGGTGTTGCAAAATGGTGGAGCAGCACCCCTGGATGGACTGGGAACCAGGAAAGGGGGCATCAGGGCAACTGGAACACCCACGCTGGATTACCCACTGAAGCCACAACCATGGGCTGGGTTAGGCACAAGCCACCAGCATTGTCACCTGCCTGGCGACCTTCACCTGAATCCAGCTCCCTGCTTAGCCCAGCACCCCAAATCCGGCCCATGCTGGTGTCAGTGGTGCCCTGCTGTCACCTCCTAACCACCACAATCAGATCCACCACACGTGGACACAACGCCCAGAGTTGGAAGATGCATTCCACAGAGAGCTACTCAATGTCCTGGCCATGTCACCATACATGCCTGGGCTCTCCGCAGGGTTGGGGCTTGAGCTTTGCTCCCCCAGCCTCTGTTGGGATGCTGCCCCCTCCCAGCGAGGAGGGATTTGCGAGGTGGATGCACTACTCGTCGCTCTGCCAGTCTTCTCTAACATATAGGATGTATAGAATTAACTCTCTGCTCTCTCTCACATGGGTGTATACACCCACTGTATGTACAGACATAGAATATATCCGAGCAGAGGGAGGTTTGTGGCCCAGCCCAGGCTCTGCAGTGCAGAAATTCTCTGCCTGAACATGGTGTATGTATCTACACAGTGTATATATATAAATATATATGTGGATAACTGCATTTTTCGTCTCTGCTTATAATAATCACACCTAAGTGGATTTAAGCAATTTGCTTCAAATCTCCAGGGCTGAGCACCCCTCCAGCTTGGCTGCCTGCAGCTGGCCAAGTGTGCAGCTCCATCCTGACTTGCTCCCTGCAGGTACACAGATTCTCCTCAGGTACCTGGCCACCACCCATCCATGCTGGCAGTCCCAGTGTGTCTCCTTGCCATCATGAGGTTGAGGAGGGTGTCCAGGGTGGTTACAGGCTCTTGGATGATGCTCAGAGATCTCAGCATCACGGCTGGGCTGGGATAGAGAGGGATCCTGCAGCAGCATTAGCTCAAACACCTGGTTTTGCAGGAGCTGCCTCCCTGTCCTGACAGTGACAATGACTCTGGGCTGGGGCACAGAATATGATGGAGGAAGAAAAGGCAGCCCCATGCTTTCCCTTGCCCTGAGCTCATCCGCGCCAAAATCCCCTCTGATGCATCTTTGGGGTCCTGCAATGGCAGGACAAAATGCCTAGGAGCTCCGAGAGCAGGGGCTGGAGGGGCAACCCCAGCGTGATGTGCCCATCTCCTCCCAGACAGGAGGAAGGTGACGGACTGGGAGGGCCGGGCCACGCCATCCGGACCCAGGAGAGGGCGCAAAATATTTAGATTTGGAGAAATCCGGTTGATCTGTGAGTGTCCACCTGGCTCCAGGGAGGGAGGGAGGAGCCCTGCACCCAGAGCCTGGAGAGCACCCATGGGAGGAGGTGGCCGAAAACATCGAACCGCAATAAAGCTCTGGGAGAGGGAGAGGGGGAGGGAAATTAATCAGCTTCCAAAAGGTCTGGTGGTGGCTGCAAGGGCTGCACGGGCTCAGGTGGTCACATCCAACAGCCCCAGGATGTTCCTGATACTGGAATCACTAATTTGGAATGTTTTTGAAGAGGAGGGGACACACAGAGCTCTCTTTGGATTTTACCAGATCCTGCCCTGCCTTGGAGTCCAGTGAGCAGGCCCCTTGGCACCACCGAGCCTGGAAGTGATGGGAATAAAGGGATGCCTTAGAAATGGGGTGAAGGCTTCAAAAAATCTCCTTTGCTTGGCAGATGCTCAAAGCCAGCAGCTGAGAGCAGCTGAGGAACAGCTCCTACAGAAATGAGTGGGAATTAAATACATGGCTCTTCCCAAAATGCCACCTGGGGGGGGACATCGTGGGGACGTCATTCTTGCAGCCAGGAGACACCCAGGCCTGGGGGAAACAGGGTGGAGGGTGGGAAGGGAGAGCCAGGGAAGGAAGAATTGCTGGGGTGGAGCACCTCACGGCATCGCTGCGGGCGCTTTTTAGGTCCTGAAAAATCCATTTACAGGAGGTGTTGGATTTTTTTTTTCCCTTTTTTTGTGCCTCGGTGTCAGAGCCAGCAATATTTTCTACATGGCCAGAACACCTCTGCAGCCCCATCCATGTCTCCAAGGCCACAGCTCACCCACCAGCTGTCCGAGCCACCTTCATTTTTCACATCCCCAGCGATAAATCTGCTGTCTTGGGGGGAAAAAAGGGTTATAGGCTTCAAATAGCAAGCGCTGACAAGCGATGCTGAAAACCCACGAGCAAGTCTGTTCACGGGGCAGTGCTTCCCTGCAAGCTTTGCAAGTTGGGAACAAGGTGTTCTCTCCTCCCTGAGATGAGCAGCAAAGCAAGGTCTGGAGGAATCTGATGCAATGGGAAGAGTCTTTCACTGGCACTCATATTTTTTGGTTATTTATCCTGTTTCCCCCTAAAAAGAAAAAGCTGGGAAGGATGGAGGGAATCACACAGTGGTTTGGGAGGGATCTTAAAGACCACCCAGTTTCAACACCCTGCTCTGGGCAGGGACACCTTCCACTATCCCAGGTTGCTCCAAGCCCCAGTGTCCAGCCTGGCCTTGGGCACTTCCAGGGATCATGGGGCAGTCCCAGCTTCTCTGGGCACCCTGTGCCAGGGCCTCACCACCCTCACAGAGAAGAATTTCTTCCCAATATGTCACTTAAATCTCCCCTATTTTAGTTTAAAGCTGTCCCCTTCATCGTATCACTATCTGCCCATGTAAAAAGTTGCTCGCCCATTTTGTTATAAGCCACTTTATAAAAGGGAAGGGGGATGAAGGATGCTGGGGGTGGGGGGGGTGGGGGGTGTGTGGAAGAAAGGATGCAGGGGGAAACGAAGGATGCAGGAGGGGGTGAAAGATGCAGGGGGGTGCGAGATGCTCCTGCTTAGCCCGTGAGCAAGAGGGCAGCTGCAAAGCCGCCTTCCTCTCCCCCCTCCCCTCTAAAGGAAAAAAAAAAAAAAAAAAAAAAAAAAAGAAGAAGAAAAATTAAATAAATAATTTTTAAAAGGGAGCAAAACTTCAACCCTCCCCCTCTGCTGGAGCAAACCCCGCCTCCGGGGAGGAAAGTTTATTTGAATGCAACAAATAAAAAAGCAGGGGGTGAGGGAGGAGGAAAAGCCAAAAAAAAAAAAAAAAGAAAAAAAAAAAAAGAGGGGGGGGGGGCGGGGGGGGGGGAGAGAGAGAGAAAACAAAGCGGGAGGGATGCAGCCCGCCGGCAGCCCGGAGGAGGAGCGGGGCCGGGCGGTGCCTGCGGCGGGGCCGGGGCCGGGGCGCGGCGGCGGCGGCGGGGCCGGGGGGCGGGCGGAGGCGGCGGCGGCGGCGGCGGGGGGGCACCGACAATGGCGGAGGGGGGCAGCGGCCGGGGGGTAGCGGCGGCTCGGTGCCTCCTGCCCGCCTCCTCCCCGCCTTCCTCCTCCTCCTCCTCCTCCTTCTTCTTCCCGGGTAGGAAAGTTTCAGCGCCGATCGCGGAGCAACAACCGGGCCGGGCTTTTGGCAGCCTGGCCCCGTCGGTACGGCAGCTTTCGCTTCGTTTCACCGAGCCGGAGCCGACGGGCCCGGTTCATGCCGGGGCTCAGCCGCCGTCCCCGGCTCCACCGCCGCCCCCGCCGCCGCCGCCGTCGCCGCCGGGCCCGGGGTTAAACGCGGAGCCGCCGCGCTGGCCCAGCGTCCCGGCGATGCGGAAACTCTTCGGGGAAAGCTGCCGGCAGCCGACGGCGGCGACCGGGAATGGGATGGGGAACGGCAGCGGGAGTGGGAGCGGGAGCGCCCGCGGAGCTCCCCCGCCGCCTCCGCCCCGCAGCCGCGTCCCGCACCCGGCGCTCCGCTCTCCCCGCGGAGCTCCGCCGGAGCCCGGCCCGCATTCCTGGCATAACTCGACTCGACCGCAACCACCCTCCTCCTCCCCATCGCCCCGCTCCAACGGGGACGATGAAACCGCGGCGGCCCGTTCTCCCCGCGCTTCGTCGGGCAGCGAAGGCGAAGGGCAGAGCGCTGCCCTCCGGCCCCGCGCCGCACGGAAGAAGAAGGAGGGCACGGCGGATGGCGATGCCGAGGCCGAAGGCTGCGCTAGGGTGGTCCCCCGCCACCCGCTGCCCATGGTGGCCCGCGTCTCCAAGGTGAACATCCTGCCCTTCGGCAGCCCCGGCGGGTCACGCAGCAGCAGTCGCTATTCCAGCACGGAGACGCTGAAGGAAGAGGAGCAGTTTGGAGTCTGTTGGCCCAGCCAAGGACGGACTTTCCAGGCAGGTTATGGTATCTATCGATCGCCCAGTTTCGGAGCCAGCGATGGCCTGGCGTGGGGACAGCCGGGCGTCCGTGTCCGCCCCAAGCTGCCCCAGAGCGTGGCCAAGGCAAAACTGGACTATGGGAGCGAGAGCCTGCACCAGCCAGGGCTGGAAGGGGAGCAGGCCAAGCATCGCAAGTCCTTGTCCAACCCCGACATTGCCACTGAGACCCTGACTCTGCTCAGCTTCCTCAAATCAGACCTCTCAGAGCTGAAGGTAAAGAAGAAAGGAGTGAGGATCGGCCTTGATGTGGGCTCCGACGGATGCTCCAGCGTTGCCAGCCCCTCCCCAGGCAGCTGCGGTGCCGCTCATCCCCAAAACCGCTGGGCGCCGGGCGAGCGGCCAACGCTCAAGGACCTAACGGCCACTTTACGTCGTGCCAAGTCCTTCACCTGCTCCGAAAAATCCGGGACGCGGCGGCTTTTCCTGCAGAGCACCATGAAGCAGAGCTCCTCCGAGCTCCTTCTGGCTTCTACGGACGGCCAGGACCAGGTGGCTCCAGGTGGGGGACAGCAGGGGATTGAGGATCCTCTCCCCATGGTCATCCAGGACCAGTACATCCAGGAGGCGAGGCAGGTGTTTGAGAAGATCAGCAGGATGGGTTCCCAGCAGGACTACGGCTTTGCCGCCGAGCAGAAGGACAGCGGAGGTGTGGAGGGCGCTGAGGTGGTGGCACCGACGATGGGGACGACAGATGCGACCCTTCGGGGACAGGTGGAGAGCACGAGGTGTTTGAAGGACGTGGAGCTGGAGGAGAACCTCGCTCACAGTAAATCCGCAGAGGAGCTGTCGGGTCACGAGTCAAGCGTGACGGATGAGGGCATCGTCACGGAGCCAGAGCCTGTGGGGATGCGCTTCCAAGCCCTGCACGCAGCTGTGGACACCTGGATGCTGCCCAGTGCCGGGCCTGCAGCCGGTGACTCCGAAACGCTGCTGCCCGCTCGCCCGACGGCAGCGGTTGAAGACCTTCCGGCTGGCAAACCCGAGATGCCGAGCACCCCTGGCAGCCTGCGGCGCCGACGTAAGTTCCCGTCAGCGGGCGCCAATGGGATGGAGGGCGGCAGTGAGGGTGGCACCGAGCCCTACCGCTCCCTCAGCGACCCCATGCCTCACCGGAGACGCTCAGTGGCGGAGGAGGCAAAGAATTTCTCAGTCGACAGCAACCTGCTGGGCTCGCTGAGTGCCAAGGCGGGCATCCCCCAGCCCGCTGCCATCGCGGGCAGCGCGGGCAGCGCGGGCAGCGACCTTTCCCTGGGCAGCGATGGGCCCCGGGACTACAGCAGCCTCATCCGCACCATCGTCAGCCAGCCCGGCGCCATGGCCAAGCTGGGCGATGACAAGGCCAACGGCAAGACCATCAAGAAGAAGTCGCTGAGTGAC